TCACATTCTCAGTGATTACTAAGGAGGAAGTCCCCGCATCTGTCAAAGCCTGACTCACTCATGTTCTGTGCCTGAAGGTCCCCACGACTCACCACAGGGCCTGTTCCACTTTCTCCTTTGAGCATAAGCCTGCTTTGGAGTTAGCAGAACAACTTTAAGCAAGGAAGAAAAGAGAAAGTCTTTATTTTATTTTGTATAGTTATTCTCTTGGCATCGGTGGCCTGGGGGGGGGGGGGGGGTGGTCAGGAGGTCCAGCCAGGTGTTTTGCAGGACACCCCTCTGCTGGAAATTGCTGGTGTAGCCCTTGTTTATAGACTGAGGCTCTGCCTTTGGGGAGGCTGTTCACTTTGTTCTCTCAAAAATAGCAATCCAAGTGTGTATATGGGACCCACAGTAAATAAAAGAGTAAATGAGGAGTAGTGGTTGGGAATATTAGCCAGGTCTCTGCGGGAGCCACGCTGTGGTGCGCACGGAAAAGCTTTGGGTGGTTGGCCCTCAGATTCCCCATGCAACTGGGTTTAATCACCAGTATACACTCTACAAAAACAAATCTGGCTTGCATTTTTGCTAGCTGCAGTCACGACTTTTACATTTCAGATGTCGCACCAACTCTTATCTCCTGCATAAAATACTTCAGAAAAAAATCTTATTCATTGTTTATAGCGACTCAGCTGCTTCTCTCAACAGAACTGAAATAAGATTCTTTGATGTTTTGCTTATGCATAAAAACAATTGCACATCTTTATTTCTTAAAGTATTTAGGATTATGGAGTTGTTTTCCATTCCTTGCACATTACCACACGGCTGTGAGTGTGTGTGTGTGTGTGTGTGTGTGTGTGTGTGTGTGTGTGTGATTTTCAGGTTAAAAATTGGGCTAATTTTCTTTAAACATGAATTTCTAACATTGCTGGGAATATTGATGTTTTCTAGAACCTCAGTGACCCCAAGGTCCCGAAGAACACCCAGTGTTGAGGCTTTACCATCCCTTTATCTTTCATCTGCCTCTTGATCAGTTTACTTTATCCACCAGCATGGCTAAATACAGAGCACAGAATCCACAGTCGGAAACTTAAATAAAATTGAATCCATTTACTTTTCCAATTGTTCCAAAACTGAAACCCCTAAAAGAGTTCTAAAGTCACAAATGCAAAATATTTTCAGCATGGAAAGCTAACAACTTCCCATGATTAGACATCATCGTTAAATATAAATAAACACTGTAGCTAATCAGATTTCCTGTGGAAGCGACACACACATATGACGAAAAGAAACACTCTGCCTCTCTGTACCTCAGCTCTGCGAGTCCCCATTCATTCTGCTTACCGATGATAAATGGAATGTAGCTCCAGGGCCAACCACGCAAAGCTTTTCCGTGCGCACCACAGTGCGGCTCCCGCAGGGACCTGGCCAATATTCCCAACCACTGCTCCTCATTTACTCTTTTATTTACGATGGGTGCCATATACACGCTTGGATTGCTATCTTTGAGAGAACAAAGTGCACAGCCTCCCCCAAGGCAGAGCCTCAGTCTATAAACGAGGGCTACACCAGCAATTTCCAGCAGAGGGGTGTCCTGCAAAACACCTGGCTGGACCTCCTGACCACCCTCCCCCAAGGCCAGTGATGCAAAGAGAATAATTATTCACGATCTCACCAGGGATTGTTGCCACCAGGAGCAGCGTGAGAGGACACAAAGGTTAAATGTGACGTGCTGTCCTGCAGCACGGGAGCAATAGGACATTAGGTGAAAACAAGGAGACAAACTATGGACTAATGAGTGATGTGCAGGAATTGGTTTATTCATGGTAACAAATGCACCATACTAATGTCTGACGTTGCTCATGGAGGGGATGGGGCACTGGGGGTATGGCGACTCTGCGCTGTCTTCTGCACACTCAAAACCATCCTGAAATTAAAGTTTATTTCATTGTATTGTATTTTAGAGACAGGGTCTTGCTATACAGTGCAGGCTGGCCTTGAACTCACTGTGTAGCCCAGGCTGGCCACGTGCACGTAGCGATCCTTCTGCCTCGGCCTCTTGAGTGTTGGAGTTACAGGCGTGAACCACCATGCCTGGCTCTCCATTTTAATTTAATTTAAATTTATTTTAAACATCTACACAAAAGCACAAAAGGTATACAAATTTATGAGCTGCCCTGTGAGGTCTCATTACAGGTACATATTGCCCAGGGTTTAAATCAGGTAAAAGGTCTGTCTCCTCGAGCATTTCTCACATCTTTATGGTGAAAACATTCCAGGCCCTTTCTCTCAGCTCTTTGGAGTACACAGCACTACCTCCGGCCACCTCGAGTTGCCAGGCCGTGGCAGCGCCCGGGGCTGCTTGCTGGACCCACCCGTGACCCCTCCCCTCCCTCCCTGCACCCTCAGCCTCGGTCACCACTGCCCACTCTCAACTTCCGTGAGAACAACTTTGTAATATTCTACATTCGAGGGTATGTGTAAAAGTAATAACTTCCACCTGTAACACAGGGCTCTTCATCTGATGTGTGCTTTCCTCAGCAGCAGCTTTACGGAGATTTACATGATACCCAAATCACATTGCAAACATCTGCACTTTGGCCTAGGCACCAGGGTGTGTGAGCATCACTACCGCCGACTTTAGGAACATTCTCGGCAGCCTGGGAGGCAGCCCCGCCTCCTGCATCATCACCCACTTGCCCCATGTCCTCCAGGCCTCGAACCACTGATCTATTTTCTCTCCCTCTTTCCAAACTGTGTGTAGAAGTAGACTGCATATGTACATGTGAAAGAGACATGCATGTAAGACAGACTTTTACATATACACATACACTAGCAGGTCCATAGGGGAATAAAGTAGATAGCTGGTTTATACACAACACACGCACACACACACACAAACCCCACGTATATACTCCAAAGCAGCCCAGTGACAGAAGCAATGGAATCTATTTCTCTTCTCTTCCCATCTCCAGGGCTATGACGAGGCACTTACCAAATTTCTGTTTCTGAAGGAAACTTTCAAACTTCCATTGCTCATGGTTGCAACAGCGGTGAGAAGCTCATGCTCTCCCATGATGCTGTTGGCTTCCGAGTTTGCATTCCCGGCTGGCTCAGAGTTTGCCACGGGCCCTTCAGTGTGGAGAGCGAGGGGGGGATGCTCCCACCTAAGGCGCCCCATGGGAGGAGCGTCGTCGCGCTGTCTGATCCTTGGGGGAGAAGGAGCGTGTGATCCGTGTGATCTGGAGGAACCGCAAGCCCCTTCTCTGAGAAGCACTGGGCCAGGGCTAATGAATCAGCAGGCACAGGCCCAAGGGCTGGAACTGTGGGTTCTGAGGATTGCAGGGAGTCCCTGACGCCACGAGAGGGCCCGTCACGGGATGGGGCTGGCTGGGGGTGGCAGGGGGACCTGAGAACCACAGGGAGAGACACGCAGATGCCCTTGCCTGCTCTGGAGGACACCCTATCATTTGAGGAATCCCTGGGATGCCCATTCTCCCCCACAGGACACATGTCCACCTTTTGTCTGAGTTCTCAGTAGCTGGTCCACCTCAGCGGCTGGGGGAAAGCGGCGTGATACTGGCCAGAGGCTGCTGTGAAAACCACACAGCGCATTTGTCTGGGTCTGCTTCCGCCTGGGCATTTCCTGACTCCTAGAGCCCCAGAGCGGCTCCCCGTCTTTGGCTGGCTGGGGAGCCATGGTCCTCTCTCTGCGTCTCTCTCTGGGATGGTTACGGGACCACAGACAGAATCAGCAGAGTTTCAGGACAACCAGAGGAATAAGGGCCAGCGCTTGTCTTGGTCTATTTCTGGTGCTGTAATAAGATCAGAGACTGGGTAATTTATAATGGGAAAACAATAGAAAATCATTGCTCACAGCTTTGGAGCGGGACAGTCAGTGAGGCAGCTGGTGATGACTGGTGTAGCCTCTTCCTTACAGTTTGTGCCATCTAGGTGTCCTCATGTGGCAGAAGAGATGGAAGAGGCACAAAGGTGCTAAGTCAACCCAGCCATGGTGGCACACCCCTGAAATCCCAGCCCTCTAGGAGGCTGAGGCAGGAGGATCTCAAGTTCGAGCCCAGCCTGGACTACTTAGTGAGTTAGTGAAATCCTGTTTCAAATTTTTAATAAAAATAAAAATTGAAAGGACTGGGATTCCTGCTCAGGAACCCTCCCATATCCTTCACCACACACGGGGGACCTCAGTACAGCAGCGGCGTGCGCAGAGAGCTGAGGATTGCAGGAAGTCCCTGCGTCGGAGGCTGCCCCAGACTCTTCCTAACTCTTGGTGTAACACTGCTCCCAGCGCAGCGGCTCGCCTATCTTTTTCAGTGGGTGCTTTTCGTGGCGGTCTCTCTTGCCTTCCCCAAGCCTGAAGCAGCTTCTATGAGAATATCCAGGGTCCAAGTCAGTCCTGTCTCCCGTGGGCGGAAGTCACCTGTGTTTGGCTTGAATGCAGCGAATGGGTTTACCTCAGGTGTTACAAAATTCCTCCAATAATGCTGTAAAACGTCCTTCCCTCTCTCCCTCAGCTGAAATGCTGCATTTTAACAGACTCCTAGCCAATATCCAGAGAGCCAAAACAATGCACCAAGAGGCAGCCCCCGGGAAGTAGCAGGGGCCGCGATTCACAGTGTCGCCACCAGGTGGCATTCACGATGCTCCTGTCTGTGGTTTCGGGGACTCCGACTGGGCACCTGTGGAGCCGCGAAGGGACAGGAGCCACTAGTGCGGAGTCTGCTCGTCCCCCTTTCCAGCGCCCGTCACGAAATCCTGGAGTTGCTAGGGATCCGCTCACTGGCCAGCGAGAAGCGAGGTCAGGTCTGTTCCCAGCCCCTGGTGCCGTTTCGTCCGATAAATGAGTGAACGCAGCTCTTCTCCCCTCGCTCGCTCTCTGCGCCTCTTCCTCCTCTGGGGCTCCGGCTTCAGCTCGGCCGCCGTGGACGTGGCGCACAGCGGGAAGGGCGCTCCGGGCAGTGGCTCACCCGCGTGGCCAGGTAGAGCCCCCTCCCCCACCATCCTGGGTAGGGCAAGGTGCTGCCAAGGTGCGGGAGGCAGAGAGGCGGCCGGGAGAGGGGAGAGCTGGGGTTGTCTTCCCAGTTTCCAGAGGGAGAGGAAGAGGGCACAGAGGCTCTCCGGAGACCGCCGGCGCGGACAGGCAGTGGCTCCGCCTAGGCGCTCCTCCTACGCACGCGCACCCTGAGCGCCCCCCTCTCACCTGCCCGTCGGGGCTCCCTCTTGGTCCCGCAGCCCCTGACTCCTGGGAAGAGCGAACTGGACACCAGACGGTCGCAGAAAAGGGGAGTTGGGACGCTGAGCCTCTCACCCCGGGCCCGTCCAGACCGAGCACCCACATGTCCAGCTCAAAGGGAGCAAGTCCTTGAAGAGTGGGGAACCCGTGCGCTGCGCCCTGCGCGGTCTCCAGCCCTTGGGTGGCTGCGGCAAAGCCACACCCGCGTACGGCTCCCAGGTCAGAACAAGAGCAAACCTGGCAAGGACGGCCCCGTGGCCACCAGCACCCCGAGACCAAGCGGCGTGGGTGGGGCCTGAGGATGATTCCACCTGGGAAGCGCAGCTGCGCCCAGAGTACCGTTGGCCCCGGGGGGATGGTGCAGGAGGGGTCGCTTCCTTTCAAGTTGAAAGAGAAAGTGCACACTGTCATTTCTTATGTGACGGGCCTTCCTTGCACGTGATGGGGCGGAGTGTGCAGACCCCCCGGGACCGGAATGCTGTGGAATGAAGTGTGTCTCCTCCAAAACTCGCATGTTGAAGCCTTAATGTCTAATCTGAAACAGCTGCTCATAGGTGCGTGAGGGTAAATAAGGTCAGAAAGGTGGGGTCGTGATCTGATGAGATCCAATTATGCAACGCCAGCTTGGCTCCAAATGAAAATCTCTCCCTGGCCCTGGCCCTGTCCCTGTCCCATCTCCCTCTCTCTCTCCACACACTCACTGAGGAGAGGCCATCTGAGGACACAGAAGAAGGCAGCCGTCTGCAAGCCAGAACAGAGCCCTGACCAGGAAATGAATCAGCTGCACCTGGGCTGGCTTTGTTCTCCTGCGCTGTGAGAAGATAAACGTCTGATATTTCAGATGCCCGGTTCATGGTATTCCTACTGCAGCAGCCCAGCGCAAGTACAACGCTGAAACAGGCCCTAGCAAGAGGGTGAGAAGACAGCTCTTCACAGACTCAGGATCTCTCTCTGTCTTTGTCTCTCCGTTTCTCTCTCTGTCTCTCTCTGCCTGTGCCCCCCTCTTTCTCTCTCCCTCGCTCCACCCCCCCCCCGTCTTCCCCCACCACATCAGCTCTGACCCGGAACCCACATCCAGTACCAGCCACGTCCTGTGGTGCAGCTGTGGGGACCGCCTCCCTGTCTCCTGGACTCGGGCTCCCTCGCCTCTGAGAGCTTGGTTCTCCTCACTCCCCCGTGCTCCTCCTCAGCCCGGAGTGTTTTGTTACACAGAAAATAATAGGTTTTACATCATATCACAGTGATGTATGTGCACCTATGTTCATAGCAGCACAATTTGTAATTCCTAAAATGTGGAAGCAACCCAAATGTCCATCCACCGAGGATTGGATAAGAAAATTGTGGTACTTTTATATAATGGAATATTACTCAGCTGTAAAGAAAGATAAGCTCGAGGCCTTTATATTTAAATGGTCACAACTAGAGACCATGCTCATAAGTGAAATAAATCAAACATACATGTGCAAACACCGCATTGTTTCTCTAGTGTAAAGACTGAAAGAGTTAATTTAAACTAGGAGATATGATAGACATTGTAAATTGATAGGAAAGCACTCAAAGGTAAAGGGTAACTGGGATATGGGAAAAGAGAAGGGAAAGAAGGAGAAAGTTTGTATGTATGTATATGCAGGGTAGTTAACATGGCTGTTCTACTGTTTTGTATTTCTTTGCTGAAAGAAACTGTCAATGAGTCCTTGGTTGATCAGCTTTGTATGTCTATATCTGTTTTCATGAGAAACCACTTTGAAGGTATCAATATGTAATACAACAAGCATTGTTAATTCCCTACCACTTTGTTTGTAACTCTGTACTGTCTGTACTGTTCCTTTGCTATTTTGTAAAATGTCGACTGTCTGTTAATATTTTCCTCCTTTTATTTTTAAAATAAAGAAAGAAAATAATAGGTTTCATTATTATTCAGGCATGACGAGGCCAACAGACCAGGAGACAGTGACCATTAAGAAGAGGATTTGTTATACATACTTCCCAATGGGAGGGGCCCAGGAGACCACCCAGGCCTGAGGTGAGGGGCAGCAAGGGAAGGGACAGGCAGGAGGCATTATGGTGGCTTCTCAGGAAAGGTGCCAGCATATTTAGCTGATCTAAATAGTTTCCATGTGTTCTGGGGTGCAGGGACTGTGCCCCACTGTCTGTACCGCCTTGGGACGATCAGGGTAGTGGTGTATGGCTTCCCAGGGTGTGACAGCCAGATAGATGAGCTCTGGGTGGCTTGGTTGGCACTGAATAGCAAACTCCCCGGCACCACTTGCTCTCTGCAGCTGTTGGCCAGCTCTATTGGCCGGGTCTCTCCTCAGTCAGCAAGACCCAGATTCCACAGCATCAGCAGTGCAGAAAATAAGAAAGTACAGTCAGCACACAAGGCCGGGGACCTGAGGTCCAGCCTCCTCTGTCAGGTGACTGCCCTCTGCAGCTGGGGCCTCCACGGGGGCACCATGCGCCTCCACTTCCTGTGAGTGCTGGTGGGGTGGCCGAGGCACCAGGCGTCTGTTCATTTATCTGCACCTTTATGACTCACTTCCACGCCAGTCCTGCCTCCGACATCAAACCTGTTGGCATCATCTCAGTCATCCTGTGCCTGATTCCAGCTCCGAAAATACTATAAGAAGCTGTTTCCCTCGAGACTTTCTGAGTGGTAAAGACAGCTTCTCTGTAAATGTAAGATACCCAGCACACCCAGGCTGCCACACCTCCCTGGGGCTGGCCCTTTCCTGGGTATCCATAGAGACATTTGCACGCTGAGGATAGAGTGAGACAGTGACACCTCATCTCCCTCGTGGAGACAGAACGATGCACCAGCAGATTCTGTGTCTG